AAAAAAAAAAAAAAAAAAAAAAAAAAAAAAAAACCAGTTTGATCCCATAAAAGCAATAAGCAGAAACACATAAATCAAAAAGTTAGACCAAAAGGCAGTAAAAAGGAACTCCAATACTAAAAAAAGTCCTAACTTTGGTTTTAAAAAAGAGAAATAAAGATTGCCCCACCATCACGTAAAGTGACTAACTTTCATGTGAAGTTTCGCACGCACTAAAAAGGTGAAAGATTTACCATGGAGCAGGGGCATCAGGGCCAAAGAAAGGGGGAGGAGTGGGACCCATCTGCTTATGCCAAACCCTAAACATCCAAAGGGCATACAAAATCATCGCGATCCCAACCATTCCAATCGCCGAATTTACCACCTTCAGCAATGACTGCATGCAACTCCTCGCCATCCTCGTCATCTTAATTATTGATTCAACTGAATAGAATTCCTGAAAACCCTAACCCTAGATTAAAGCTAGGGTTTCTTTTAAAAGGTTAGGGTTGTGGGAATTGTCGAATTGAGGACGACGGGTTGAAGAATTTGAAAGAATTTTGTGATTGTATTTTTCGCCAGACGCTGAGGTCGTCCCTATTGTCCGTCTTTCACGCAATATAAGCTGGGACACTTGGCGTTTAGGAAATTTTCAGGAAATGTCCAATCTATATATGAACATGAAATAGGAAAACGTAATAGTATGATTCAATTAGTAGATAAAAAATTATTAAATATTTTTTCAATAATATGGTCAGTTTTTTGACATTGTCAATCTGGTGGAATGATTGTATCTAATGGACAGCTCTTTTTTATTTGTTGTTGATGAATCATCAATTAGACTAGTTGTACTATTCTTTTTCTGCTGACCAAAAATAAAAAAAAAAATCTTTTTCTAAAATAATTTATGCAAAATACCGTATTTGGAAATGTATAGAGTTTTTCTTTAAAACTCATTTTCTGTTCGAGCAATTATTAAAAAAGAATCTAAATATTTCTTGGAAGATAAAATTATAGTTTGTGTAGAAAAACAACATATGTCATATTTTTTTGTGATGTTAATGCAAGAATTTTCATCGTTGAAAAAAAAATGCCAGAATTTTCATAAATGTCCTTAGGCCTTAAGGAACTTTTGCACCCAGAAATTGTAAGACATCCAACTTATGAAAGATAGAAAAACAATTATAGATAAGTTTTCAACATCAAGTTGCTGTGGTGTAGTGGTTATCACGTTAGTCTTACACACTAAAGGTCCCCAGTTCGATCCTGGGCAGCAACATATGTCTTATTTGTTTTTGAATTTTCACATCACCGTATTCTAGCTGTGTGTGCCCAATATTAATTTCTTTTCTTTCTGAATTTCTATTGTGTTCTAGTGCTTGGTTTTCTCTTTTGATTGGCAGTTTACTTCATACATTTCCTATATTCATATTTTTTGCATTGTTTGAAATTCATGTATAATATGGTATATGTAATGTTGCTTTAAGAACACCTGTGACGTGGAGTTATTAAGGAAAATTTTCATATGAAGGAAACAGTGCCATTTGGTGAGTAATCTGTGCTGAACATGAAAAGATTTTGTGATTTGGTGGCACTTTGAGCTAATATAAAATCCTTTTTGCTACAAATCTAAAAACAAATATATGTAGGTGTTTAATCGTTTATTGCACGATTAGTAATCCTAAATTGTATATGATTTATTGGTGTTTAATATTTTATATAATTCATGTCTAAATTTATTTTGTAGTCAAAATTAGATGGGAATAGGTTTTTCAATTTCTAATCAATAGGTTTTTTACTCTTATAAATAAGGGTGATGCTACCTATTTTTAAAGGTTGCCACCGCCCACCTACCTTCTTCTTCTTTCTCTAGTTTGCCAAATTTCTTCTAAATAATAAACGTTCAATATTCCACTTGTGAGTGAATTATTCTTCTAGGATATTTGAATTCTTTCAAATTATTATTAGAGCAATGAAGAATTTAAATACTCCCACGTTTGATTCAAACTCTACCAAAGCTGAAGTTGAACAGCAGCCAACAACACCACCTTTTCCAAGTTCATGCAATTATTTCAAAATTTTGTCCAAAGGCAAAAATATTAGAAAGCGTCCTACGGTTGAAGAAGGGAAAAATGAAGATATTGAAGATAAAAGTTCTGTCATATATACCAAGAAAAAGCCAGCGATTGATAATAACAATCTACACTTTTCTACTCGACCTTCAAAGTGTAACAAGGCTACTGAATCCAATGTACATTCAAAACTCCTCTTTCATTTTGAGTCCTCAAAACAAATTCAAATTCAAAATGATAGTAGAGCAACAACTGTGTAGGCCAAAATTTGTCTTCAGAATATCTAGCGTAATATGGCATTAAAGAAAGTTATCGGTCGAACTCGCCCAAGACGCAGCGAGGTCAATGGCCGAGGTGCTGACATGAGTCGTGGTCGAGATATTGACAGATCGCAGTCAAGATGTCAGCGAGGGCCGAGGTCGAGATTGACTATTGATAATAAGATTTGTAACGACTAATTTGTCAAGATAAGGTACTAAAAGGGAATATTCTAGTGGATATTCCCTCCATTTGTACTATTAGGGTTTCCTAGAAAAAAGACCTCGTATATATAGAAAGAAGAGGCAATGATATGGGCATGTAATATTCATTCTCATAAGAACACTTTTGAGAAGGGGATTGTCTCTCTTGCTAAAACACAAAGATTACCTTTTTTATAAATATCTTTGTTCATATATTATTCTCCACTTTTTCATCAGATCCGATGATCGTTCATGCGAATCTTGGATCTATCGGTTATTCACCATTGTCAAGCAAAATATTTGTCTCACCCATATATTAAAGGGTGAATCATTCTCTTTATTTACTTAAATGTCATTTATTGACATTTATTGTTAGTTATATCACCCTTAATATTCTTACTTTAAGAGTATTTTACATTTATTATCACCAACCATATACAGAATCTGTCACATCTACTATTCGTTTTTGTACTTAATATGTAGAGTTATTATCCTTAGTTAGATTTAACCCCGTACTACGTAAATTTAATAGTTTAACCGAAAACTATATTTTTTGGTCAAACAATTTGGCGCCATCTGTGGGGACTTTCTAACTGAGTCTTTTAGTTTCTTCTAGATCTACTATCGGCACTGGTTGCTGCAAAAAAAACGAAAAGAAGAACCTTTTTTCTCTCTGCATGCACAGATCTAACATGGCAGGTAACAGAGAAGAAAGAATGAGAATAATGAGTGACCTCCCAACCAACCTCATGGACATCATCCACGAAAGCTTTGAAGTAGTTGACGAGGACACAACGCCCAATGCCTCCCCTAGGCGAGGTGGATCGCCCTCTCCCCACTGTAGCATCATAAAATCCCTTATCAAGACGGCCTTCACATCCATGGTAGAGGAGACACCGCCAGCGATAAAGAAACTCCTTGAGGCCTGGTTGGCTGATACACTGACCAACATCCTCCATAAACCTGTTCAGAACGCGACCTCAGCAAATGCGAGAACCTGTGTTGCACCACCAGTGAACGAGCGACATGATCAACCTCCCCCCCACCCCCACACGCGACAACAGGTATCACTCACAATATTGTTAACAATGCATGCGATGACGCTCTCACAACCATTCTAAAAAGGATGGAGGAAATGGAAAATGAGAACAAGGCACTTCGGGATCAAATGGAAGAGCACCAAGAAAGGGTCGATAAAATACCGAGCGCTCCTAATTTATTGCCGATGAGAGATGCCGATCGGTTCGTCGAGCAGTCGCATAGTGATAGTGCTGCCCGACATGCCATACCAAAGACTTTCAAAATGCCGCCTTACCTGAAAATATACGATGGCAGGACCGACCTCGAGGATCATATGATCCACTACGTCACACTGTGAAAGGCAATGACCTCGCCAAAGAACAAGTATCCTTCATTCTGCTGAAGAAATTCGGCGAAACCCTCACGGGAGGGGCATTAACCTGGTACTCGCAACTGCCAGCTCGTTCTATCGAAACCTTCGAGGAAATGGCCGATAAGTTCGTGACAGCCCATGTCGGGGCCAAGAAGGCCGAGGCAAGAGTGAATGATATCTTTGCTATCAAACAGTCCCCTGGAGAAGGACTGAGGGACTTCCTCACCCGTTTCAACCGAGTGAGAATGACTTTGCCCAATATATTATAAGGAATGGCGGTAGCCGCTTTTCAAAACGGGTTGAACAGAAATGGTTCAAGAGCGACAAGAAAATTATTAAGTCGGCTTATGAAATACCCCCCAACAACTTGGGACGAAATACATAATGCATATTGTGCCGAAGTTCGAGCAGACGAAGATGACCTCAATGAGCCGACTCATCGACTGACCTCAGTACAAGCAGAATCTAGGAAAGATCAGAGAAGTGATATCAGAAGAGATCCAGCGGCCTCACGGCCAAACCGGGAACGGCATCTCCCATATGTCAGAACTACCATTGTATCCTCACCTCTCCATGAAGAAGGCCCATCCCGATCAAGAACAGGGACTCACCGGAATGAAAGAGGTATTCCCCTTTTACTATCCGCTAATAATTTTTGCGTGTTACCTACAGAGATAGTCTATGCTTTGTAGAAGCTCGGACCAAAGGTTAAGTGGCCACAAAAGATGAGGTCAGACCCGAATACCATAAAATCAGACGCCCTTTGCGAGTTCTATCAAGAGCGAGGACACAAAACCGAAGATTGTATCACCCTAAGACAGGAGGTAGTAAACATGTTGCGACAAGGACACCTCAAAGAAATGCTGAGCGATTGGGGAAGGACTAACTTTTCCAGGGGACGTGAACAACATCAAGGGCCGCTGAAGCCACCCTCACTAGCCCACACCATCCACGTGATTATCGGCGATGGAGACGATGCTTCCATCAACAACGTGATGTTCACCACGACCCACAAGCTCAAACGGTAGATCACCCACGAACGGTATGATGAACTCAAAGAAAGTATCATCTTCGATAAGTCAGATACCAACGGTTTGGCATTCCCTCACTATAACGCTCTTGTTATTTCTTTACGAATTTTAGATGCCGACGTAAGACGAATTATGGTAGATGACGGGAGCGGCACGTGTTTTATCCATCCCCGAGTACTCACACAAAAGAAACTCGAGGACAAGATAGTACTCGGGAGCGGCACGTGTTTTATCCATCCCCGAGTACTCACACAAAAGAAACTCGAGGACAACGTGATGTTCACCACGACCCACAAGCTCAAACGGTAGATCACTCACGAACGGTATGATGAACTCGAAGAAAGTATCATCTTCGATAAGTCAGATACCAACGGTTTGGAATTCCCTCACTATAACGCTCTTGTTATTACTTTACGAATTTTAGATGCCGACATAAGACGAATTATGGTAGATGACGGGAGCGGCACGTGTTTTATCCATCCCCGAGTACTCACACAAAAGAAACTCGAGGACAAGATAGTACTCGGGCTACAACTAGATCCCTATAGAGGAAGAGGATCAGGAAAAGACCACCTTCATCACCTTCTATGGGACGTACTGCTACAGGGTCATGCCTTTTGGATTGAAAACTATGGGGGCAACTTACCAATGGCTGGTGACGAAGATGTTCAAAGAACAACTCGGAAAAATAATAGAGGTATACATCGACGACATGCTGGTC